TCAGCCCGTTTATTGTTCAGAACACTTAAACACACAAATACAAAATGAGAACACTCGCAAAAATTTGCTGCGGGCCACAGCTCACACTGAGACGCTCACACATTGATTAATCAGCCATACATGAATAATACATGAATACTACCATACAATACAATTGCATTACTTTTTGTACATCTCAATGTGAAATTGACCGCACATGTTGGAGTATCTGAATCCTCCCTGCTACAAATCAACAGAGAGGAACTTCACAAAATGTGATCTGAAGACGCTGGTAAACAAAACAAGTGTGATTTTTCCATGCTGCCCCCTGAAGTCAACAACAAGCGATGATCTGTGAATTTATAATTGAAAAGGACCCATTCCCACAGGCGGTCTATTTGGGGCCATGCCCACCCACAAAGATGCTTTTGCCCACCGACTTAAGGCACAGATCTAAAAAAAAAACTTTATACCACTTTATCATCGTAGCTAATTTTGTGTTGTGAAATTTTACTGTTAAGTTGTTTGTCACTAAAACTTAGAGGATGCCTCATAAAATTTGTAACATAACAAAAACTTGGCATTTGGAGCGGGCGTGGAAACATTTTATAGCCACTCTCAATGGAGTATACGAGCAACCAACCTTTGTACACGACATCTTAGTCACACAGTGCCATATGACAAATGCAGTTTTTCAAGTTGTGCCTCTCTCTGCGAAAAAGACTCGTTCCAACGGTAGTCACATGCCTCAAAGCCATAATGGCTGACACCGACAAACACGACATGTTCAGTAGTTGTTGGACAGAGGGGGGCAGAGAGAGTGTGTGTTGTTCCTTAGAAGGGAGTGTCCTATCTGGCAAAGATCACTATTTTCGGTGTAAATTTATTTTGCTTGGATCACTCATTGACATTCTGACTGGAGCACAAAGACACTGAAGCAGCAGTGGTGGGAACAGCAGAGTGTGTCTCAGGTGTCGGAAAAGCATGAAGAGCTTCACGGAATGGTTTTTCACTACTCTCGGCGCTGCAGTTGTCATCTACTATGGAGCTAAGCTGCTCCTTTTTACTAGGATGCTTTATCCCAAAAGGTGGTTTCCACTGCCGAAGTCCTTCTTTTCATCCATGGGAGAGTGGGCAGGTAAGCTTGCTGTTTGTGTGTACTGTATAGTGTGTGTGTGTGTGTGTGTGTGTGTGTGTGTGTGTGTGTGTGTGTGTGTGTGTGTGTGTGTGTGTGTGTGTGTGTGTGTGTGTGTGTGTGTGTGTGTGAGCGTGTGTCTTGTGTTTACAAGCAAAATAATGATTTTATCACCGGTGTAGTATGAACTATATTGAAACAGATTAGAGTGAACCCCTGCTTATTCATGTTTTACTATTCACAAATTTAACATTCACAATTCACATTTTTTTTCCTTCTTAACAAGGTCATCACGGTAATTTCAAACTATGGTATTGTAACAACTATGTTGTGCCCAAAAATGACCAGAATCCGAATTCCTAAACCTCCTCTAGGTCAACATCAAAGTAGTTTAATTAAATCAGTACAACTTTAGATTTAGATCCACATTTCACATCGGTCTCATTGGTTACATGAGACATTGACGTGCCAATCGAGACTTTCTGCGTCATCTTCAGAAATGTAATCATCTGGCACAAAGCCACACAGCGGCTAAAGTGACACATTGTGTCAACATACTCACACCACAAGTCCAGATTTACCCATTCAAATACTTGTCTATGCAGCCAACAGGAATCCATCACTGTATTTGACTCTGGCAATCCTGAAGATGTAAAACCTACCTGAATTCCTTTTTTTTTTTTTTTTGGTGACTCCAAAACTGTTTTATATTAGACTAATTTCCAGTAATGATCAAAGTCTGGATAAAGGAGCTGCCACTTTCCATCGAAAAATGGTCCAACAGTTCCTTTGAAAGTTCACCTCACTTCCCCCTGACAGATTTTCCTTAAGCTTCAACAGTAACCCTGGGGAAAAATAATATTCTTGTACACTTTGGTTTTGTCCAAAGCAAAGGGCAATGGTCATTTAAGCTTATATTTCAGTATCCCTGCTCTTATCTCTACCTCCACCCCGTCAATATCGAGCGTTTCCAATTAAAGGGACAGATAGATTCCAAGTATAATGTGCCTCGAACACAAGTTGATGCCACCAGCTGTCAAAATGATTACTGTAATTTCTTCTGTAGTTGCCTTGCTAACCACAGATGGTCAGAGGTCGATCAAGCCAGATGAACACAATTGCAAACGAACAACAAAGTCCAAAGTCTCATGAAAATGACTGAGTCATGAAATCAGTCAGAAACAATAAAAGATCGCGGTCATGACCTAGTCTTTGGACAGAACTCAGTTGTAACAGTTACATAATTTGATTACATTTGGTGTACAATGATTGGGTTTTGGATTCTTCTCGTATTCACCATATGAGGTATAATCACACTATGAGTCACGATAACCACTCTGGAATTGTCTCTCATATCCATCCAGAAACAATAAATTCAACTATGAACAAAACATTTCTGTGAACTAAATAAATGCGGTCCGAGAAATGTGCCCAGTGGGACTCCCTCAATACCGCAGTTTTCATGGATACCATGTAGGTTTTTTGTCGATGAGCTGGCACTCTTTGGCTAACATTCTGGACATTTTGCAGTCATACACTTTATAGAGATAACACCGCTTTACAAAGTTTGCATTTGATCTTCAAAGTACCAGAGTCATATCAAAGATTGTGGAGAGCAAAACGCCAATTATCCCTCTCCCCCAACATACCCTTCCCACCATATCCTTTTGAAAATAAATGTTAAGCTATGAATAAAAACTTGTTGATGAACTAAATATATCGTATGCCCTGTTGATCACACTGAGGAAAGATGTTGCCATTGATATTTCTCAACTGTCAGAACTCTGGATTAAAAAAAAAAACAACAACATGCAATGCTCAGTCTGTTGGGTTTGACATGTTCAATGTTTTGTCTGGCAAAACAATTGTAGCTGGCCGAAACTTTTTACGTCACCGTGGGGGCGTTGCCAGGGACAACTGGCAGCTCTGTCCCACAGAATAACCTTATAGCACATTCATGCAGACTAACAGTGGGAAACCCGTTGCTTTATAGCTGGTTTAAGCTACACTTTGCCACAAATAGGCTTTCAAGGATATGTGCACGAGACCGCTCCTCTGTCAGCGCGACTTGACTCACGAAACCACTGACAAATCTCACCCGTTTGGTTGCCTTCAGGGTCTTCCAGAAATTGTAAATGACAGTACTTAAGAAAGGACGCAATTGCGTTGTCGTGAGTCTGACAATATTCAATGATTATTTCACGGACCAGCAGAAAGAGCCCCATGTACCACCCTCTGAGAATCCCCATTTTCCATGTTTTGCAGTTTGAAGAATGTAGCTTTAGCTGCATTCGGAAAACATTACTATATTTGTGCTGATCAAAACCACGTCGTCATCACTTACATAGCTGGCCCACTCGTTTATTATCACAGTTTCAGTATGTCCCATCTGATTAAAAGCCCCTAAAAGCTACACTCCCGTCTATCTCGCTTTGTTTGCTGGAACTGAAATGTGTTATCTGAGTATTCGGGGCCTAAGGAGATGAGAGGGTAGTGGCAAGTTGGACACGTTCTCAGCAAGTTCTTTATCAGTGGAACATGCTGTAAGTACAGCACGTTACTTGAACATGATGCATCGGTAAACATAAGCTTCCTCTTTGACATCATGTTGATTAACAATGTTTCCTAGTCGGATGCTATCCCTGTAGTCAGAAGGGAGGAAATGCTGAGTCAACTAATAGAAAGTGTTGCTGTTTCAGTGATCACCGGCGCCTCAGAGGGCATAGGAAGACAATACGCCTTTGCGGTGAGTCATTATTCCAACTGGGATTGTTTTTTTATTTTTTATTTTTTTAATGAAACTACAGGCACACAATGCTGATGTATTATCACAGAGTAATTCATATCGCATCAATGATAAAATTCAAATCACAGCAATTCAGCAATAATTGAGAAGAAAAACATCTCGCGGATGGAAACATCTTGTCACTGAAGAAAGAAACTGCGTTCCAGCGCATTTAGCGTTCAAAAGAAAATACCGGGCAAAAAAAAAGTGAATTTTACCTTTGAAATATAGCCGAATGTTTTGTTTCCCAAGCTTTACTAAGCAAATATTTTACAATGTCAAAATCTAATGGCACACCATCACACAAAAATGTCACATAAATTGTACACAGTATACAGAAATCATGATGAGCTCACCTCAAGTCATGCTTTATTTTTTTAATTCATTTAATATCGAATACATGTGACTTCAACTTTGACTTTAACATTGTAATACAGTATTATGACTTCATATTGGCAATATATGACTTTATTCTCTAAAAAAAATTCACCTATTCCGCTTTTTTTTCATGGATCCTCTCCCCAGCTATTCACAGAAAACTGTGCTCTTTCAGAAACGCCCTAAGATGCCACAAGATGGCATTAAAACCTTATCTAAATAGGAAAGTCGTACTGCATCAATATTTCGCCACAGTCCTCTTTTGTATCATCAATAGCTGGCTGAACAAGGAATGAACGTAGTTATCATGAGCAGGACCAAAATGACTTTGGACAAGGTGGCCAAGGAAATAAGTAAGAATCACATCATTTTATTTACAATATCTACCATTGTTATATTTCCTTGTGTAGTATAGATCCTGTATGTTCATGTACAGGCGAAACGACACGTCGGCTAGTTAAAGTGATCGTGGTAGACTTCACCAAGGACGACGTCTTCGCTGATATTGAGGAGCAGCTTAAGTACTTGGACATTGGTGTATTAGGTACGACTTCCGCAGCGATCATCATTATCATCACTATTTGCTTATACAGCCCCACTTAACACAATTGGTGGAAATCATTATCAAATGCAATCCATCAAAGTTGGACGTATTTACTATTGTGTGCCAGTGAACAATGTAGGCATGATGCCCAGTGTAGTGCCTCGCCGGTTCCTTGAAGATGAAGATCTGGACCAGGTTAGTCGTGGCCAAGACGTTGACAAATATATTGACATGAGTGACGATGAGAAACTTTTGCAAGTTTTGTTTAAGTGGCGCAGTGGTTGGTACCCAAATAGCTTTTCCAGGTATCTGTACTTATTTGTTTTAACGCACACATGCAACATTTGAAAACAGATAAAAGTTCGTAGGTCATTTGGTGTAATGTTACTTTTATTTAATTGCAGAATTTGATTCAGTACCTCTAGCTTTAATCATCTTTTTTGAGGCGCAAGTACTGTAGTACTTCTACTCCAGTACAAAGAGTACTTTTACTCTGAAAGCTAGTTCCAAACCGAGTACCTCACCCAAGTGCAGCCTCTTATTCATTACATTGCACAGTATTTTCTTCTCAAAGATCAGATGATTGCAATGCTTGTTATCTTCCCTTACAGACAATCAGGAGGGTGATAAATTGTAATGTGAAAACCATGGTGAAGGTAAGAACACAGTGGAACCTCCACAAATGTCCCAAAAGTGATACAATTAGGAGTTACACATAATCATCAGGGAAAATGTGTTTCAAACACCTTCCTGTTCCCTCTCAATTACGTTTCTGTCAAGGTTGTTCAAAGGATGACTCTTTTTAAATGATTTTAGTTTGATTTAGTATCATACAGCGATCAACTTTACCTAGTTAATATCCTTTCAATAATGTAACAGTTTAGAATCAATTAAAGTCATTTTGCATTATTTTCTGTGCGTAAAAAAAACTCATTTGAAATTACATTAACCGTTTCATGTAACCTGTAACTTGATAACACGATAAGCTGTCCACTGTAGTAACCACTGTCCCTGAAAGGGTTAACTTGGAGGTCAACCAGCATCACAGATTTGTATTGTGTTTGACTTGGGAAGTTCAACTTTCTGTCTGCGTTTCTTATATTTCAAAGTACAAAATACTTTGCATATCCCTAAAATCTCTCTCTCTCTCTCTCTCTCTCTCTCTCTCTCTCTCTCTCTCTCTCTCTCTCTCTCTCTCTTTGCAACAGATGTGCAAAATAATCCTTCCAGGCATGGAAAACAGGTTTCCTTCATTTGATGTAACCAATTATTTAACTATAACGGCTGCTAGTGGTGGATGACAGTGACAAAGAAAAAAAAACAACTGGTGTTGAACTATATGCAGGAAAAGGGCCACTTCATTAGGTACACCCGCAGAATAATTTGCAACTCATTCCAATGATAACGATAATAATGCCCACCTGTGATTTTCTTCTGACTGTATGTTTATTGCCGTGGCTGACCAGTTAACTGTTAACAGATCCTGGAGAACTGAGCAAGAACAATGTTGGTATAAGGGAGTTTATTTACAATTTTTCGTTACTTTAGTTGAAGCTGGAGTTTTGCATATAACAAAAACAGAGCAAGAAGTTTTGACGCTGTTAGTGTAACACGACTACAATGACTTAATAGTAGATGTGTGAGTGATCAATCATCTATAATACTGGCTGAAATAGGGGGCAAATCAAATTTTGCAAGCGGCTCCATGAAGGTGTGTTTTGTGATTTAGAACTGTGCCGCATCATACAGAGCTGTTTTTGGTTTCCACATTTAGCGACCCAAGTTGGTACAATGACGTCATTCGCAGAGTGCAGGAGTATCAAATGATGTGGCCCGTAATTGCATGAATCAAGCTGTTTTCTGAGATTTTGTATGTGTGCGGTGAACAGGAGAAAAGGCGTGATCGTAAACATTGCATCCGGAATTGCCTCCATTCCCTTTCCTATGTATTCGCTGTACGCTGCATCTAAAGTGAGTATTGAGCATCGGTTGTTCAACCTCTCTTTGGCTTCTAACGTCGTTACTCTAATTCAGCTTTGTGTCTCACTCTTACAGATATTTGTGGAGAGATTTTCTCAAGGTCTTCACGCAGAATACAAAGACAAAGGCATTATTATACAGGTACCAGACCATCTAAACCCTTTAAATCAGGGGTGGGGAACCAACAGCCGAGCCTGTCAAACAATTCTAAAAACAGAGAAAACAAGGGCGAGAGGCACCTTGAACTGGTTGCCAGGCATTCATAGTGCACAAAAAGACATAAACAAGTTATGCTCACATTCCAACAGGGTGCGGTGGTGCCCACCCCAAAACATTTAATCCACAAATGCTCACAAAGTCTCATCATGAACTTGCTTGTTTTTAATTATTAGTTAAATAATTGCAAATTCTGCATGGCCCTCAGAAAAGATCCCCGCCCTTCCTTTAACTACACAAAAGGGATCGGCACGGCTTCTCCTTTTACCGCTTTGCTTCTTGTTTTCTCAGGCAGTCACGCCCTTCGGCGTCTCCACTCGCATGGTGGGCTACCAGCAAACGAACGCGACCATGTTGGCCCCACAAGATTTTGTGACGAGCTCGCTGCAGTATATCAGAGCTGGGGACAAAACGTACGGCAGCCTCTGTCACATGTTCCTGGTAAGGAAAACTCACTATTAGGTACTAGTTACTGGTAAAGTACAACCGAAAACTATGACAGAGCACTTCACATTGTCCATGTTTTGCTACCTTACAGCAGAACTCCAAAATAGAACAAATTGCCCCCCACAATATGTTTTCATCCATCCATTTCCTAATCCGCTTATCCTCACAAGGTTTGCGGTCATGATGGAGCCTATCCCAGCTGTCTTCGGGCAGTAGGCAGGGTACAATAAATTTCTTTGACGTCCTTCCTAATGTTGCTTGTTGATTTTGTTTGAACTTTGTTGGTTGTTTCTATATTTTTTATAGGAGTAATATGTGTCCACTATATGTGACAATTGCAGCTGTAGCCTGTGACAATTGATAAAGTAAACTCGTGAGTTATAGTTCACTATCCAGCTAGCTAGATACCTGGATAGTGAGCTATAACTTGCTAGCTAGCTAGCTCATTATAATGTTGAATACCATAATACAACGCCATGAAAAACGTGTTCGTTTCCATTTGTTTTGTATGTGTAAATATATTACCAAAAAATGTTTCATCATTCAAGTCTGAGCTCTTGTTCGTCCGCTCAAGAATCATTAACAGTCATGCCGAAGCCACTGTTGCTATCTTGGCTGTGTGCTTAGGGTTGTTAGTTGTTGCTGAAAATTTGTTCCAGTCTAGAATAAGGCTGTAACGTAGCAAATTGTGGACAGTAAAATGAAATGATGTGAATTCTGTATGGATGCAAGGAACATGAAAATAATTCTTCTTTTGTGGATGTGCACAGGGCTGGTTACTGCACACTATCCCACTCAAGATTCTCCACACAGAGTTTATGCTACAAGGTCTAAAGGAGTACGTGGAGAGAAAACAAGCAGAAAAGAGTTCCAGCTCTGTTGTAAAGGAAGCTTAAAGGAGAGGGAGTACAAGAACCGTGCCAAGTTGTTTCTGTATACTGTATACCGTAACAACGGAATGACCAAAATTAGACAAATCCATTACATGATATTGGTTCATTTGAAAATGTGTTTTCCGATTAGAAATCATGTTAAGTTATTGCAACTTCCGGAAGGTCAGCACACTAAGTCACTTGTATGATTTGTTTGGCACAGTTTTTACGCAGGATGCCCTTCCTGACACACCCTTCCCATTTTTTTTTTTGGGGCCTGGGCTTGGGACCTGGAAATCGTGTAAAGTGAATTAAACAATTCTGGTTAATATGGTGAACCCCTGAATAATGAAAATCCACAAGAAACTGATGCCTTGTTATCGCCTACATGGAGTGGGGGAGATGTTGGAATGTTTGAAGTTGTAACGTGTCATGCAATATTTAATAAGACCACTAGAGGTTGCAAAAAGGCAAGACTTTGAATGACACATGTTGGAAATCAGGACAGAACTCGTTCTTAGAATTTCTCGGAGATGTTTTAGATCCCGTGACCCCGGACGGGATAAACGGTTCAGATAATGACTGGACGGATGTTTTAAGTCTGGGACCTCTCAGAAGAAAAAAATCTTGATTTGCTCTTGGTTGTTGAAGACAAGAAAAACATTGTCATGGATTCATGCAAATTTGGTCAGACGGTGTTGAATTGGTTAGCGCCAACAAAAGCAAACATGTAACTCAAGTAATGATGCTTAATATTGATACCGTCAACCAGGTATTTAATTTCACACTGTTTATTATATTAATGGTTTTATTTTGTAGTGGTGTATTAGTTTCATAGATGATCATATACCTTTGTGGCTGAAATATGTTTTTCACTTTCGGCAAAGCAGCTGATATAGAAATAGTATCATTCTTTTTATGATTCACAGTGGATGTGTTTGTAACTGCGCGAGAGGTCACCAGTAGTTTTGATAAACAACTTTTATGTTACTGTAGATGTTATAGACTAGTAACTTTTAACCACTGCATGAGAAATCATCAAACTTTGGAAAGTATTTTTTTTTTTTTTTTTTTAACCCATCAACCTATGCCAGCAACATATAGTGACTGGCAGAACAAAATTGTTCAAACAGGCCCAGAGTTCACAAGTACAATTGTGAGTAAACTGAGATGAGAGATTATTTCAGTATTGTATGTATGCTTTTGGGAAAGTTCCATTTGTTTGTTTGCCATGAGATTTTTCTAATGTAATGTGCCTTGGCTCAATAAAGTTCAAGAAAAAAAAATGTCATGAATAATTTAATAAACTTGTACAGATTGTGCAAGGTATGCTGGTTGATGAAATACAAGTCAGCTACATCGATAAAACAAGCGTTAGTTGGGCAAAATTATTGCATATACAGTACTTTAGTTTAATGCAACACTTATGTGGGATTTTCCAGGTGTGTGTGTGGCTGAAATTAAAATTTGTTTACCCTTCTGAAACCCAAGGTGGGAGGGGATTTTCCTCCCCTCGGCTGCTCTGTAATTTAGTGATACCACAACTTTTTGCCCAACAGATGTGCAAAATAATCCTTCCAGGCATGGAAAACAGGTTTCCTTCATTTGATGTAACCAATTATTTAACTATAACGGCTGCTAGTGGTGGATGACAGTGACAAAGAAAAAAAAACAACTGGTGTTGAACTATATGCAGGAAAAGGGCCACTTCATTAGGTACACCCGCAGAATAATTTGCAACTCATTCCAATGATAACGATAATAATGCCCACCTGTGATTTTCTTCTGACTGTATGTTTATTGCCGTGGCTGACCAGTTAACTGTTAACAGATCCTGGAGAACTGAGCAAGAACAATGTTGGTATAAGGGAGTTTATTTACAATTTTTCGTTACTTTAGTTGAAGCTGGAGTTTTGCATATAACAAAAACAGAGCAAGAAGTTTTGACGCTGTTAGTGTAACACGACTACAATGACTTAATAGTAGATGTGTGAGTGATCAATCATCTATAATACTGGCTGAAATAGGGGGCAAATCAAATTTTGCAAGCGGCTCCATGAAGGTGTGTTTTGTGATTTAGAACTGTGCCGCATCATACAGAGCTGTTTTTGGTTTCCACATTTAGCGACCCAAGTTGGTACAATGACGTCATTCGCAGAGTGCAGGAGTATCAAATGATGTGGCCCGTAATTGCATGAATCAAGCTGTTTTCTGAGATTTTGTATGTGTGCGGTGAACAGGAGAAAAGGCGTGATCGTAAACATTGCATCCGGAATTGCCTCCATTCCCTTTCCTATGTATTCGCTGTACGCTGCATCTAAAGTGAGTATTGAGCATCGGTTGTTCAACCTCTCTTTGGCTTCTAACGTCGTTACTCTAATTCAGCTTTGTGTCTCACTCTTACAGATATTTGTGGAGAGATTTTCTCAAGGTCTTCACGCAGAATACAAAGACAAAGGCATTATTATACAGGTACCAGACCATCTAAACCCTTTAAATCAGGGGTGGGGAACCAACAGCCGAGCCTGTCAAACAATTCTAAAAACAGAGAAAACAAGGGCGAGAGGCACCTTGAACTGGTTGCCAGGCATTCATAGTGCACAAAAAGACATAAACAAGTTATGCTCACATTCCAACAGGGTGCGGTGGTGCCCACCCCAAAACATTTAATCCACAAATGCTCACAAAGTCTCATCATGAACTTGCTTGTTTTTAATTATTAGTTAAATAATTGCAAATTCTGCATGGCCCTCAGAAAAGATCCCCGCCCTTCCTTTAACTACACAAAAGGGATCGGCACGGCTTCTCCTTTTACCGCTTTGCTTCTTGTTTTCTCAGGCAGTCACGCCCTTCGGCGTCTCCACTCGCATGGTGGGCTACCAGCAAACGAACGCGACCATGTTGGCCCCACAAGATTTTGTGACGAGCTCGCTGCAGTATATCAGAGCTGGGGACAAAACGTACGGCAGCCTCTGTCACATGTTCCTGGTAAGGAAAACTCACTATTAGGTACTAGTTACTGGTAAAGTACAACCGAAAACTATGACAGAGCACTTCACATTGTCCATGTTTTGCTACCTTACAGCAGAACTCCAAAATAGAACAAATTGCCCCCCACAATATGTTTTCATCCATCCATTTCCTAATCCGCTTATCCTCACAAGGTTTGCGGTCATGATGGAGCCTATCCCAGCTGTCTTCGGGCAGTAGGCAGGGTACAATAAATTTCTTTGACGTCCTTCCTAATGTTGCTTGTTGATTTTGTTTGAACTTTGTTGGTTGTTTCTATATTTTTTATAGGAGTAATATGTGTCCACTATATGTGACAATTGCAGCTGTAGCCTGTGACAATTGATAAAGTAAACTCGTGAGTTATAGTTCACTATCCAGCTAGCTAGATACCTGGATAGTGAGCTATAACTTGCTAGCTAGCTAGCTCATTATAATGTTGAATACCATAATACAACGCCATGAAAAACGTGTTCGTTTCCATTTGTTTTGTATGTGTAAATATATTACCAAAAAATGTTTCATCATTCAAGTCTGAGCTCTTGTTCGTCCGCTCAAGAATCATTAACAGTCATGCCGAAGCCACTGTTGCTATCTTGGCTGTGTGCTTAGGGTTGTTAGTTGTTGCTGAAAATTTGTTCCAGTCTAGAATAAGGCTGTAACGTAGCAAATTGTGGACAGTAAAATGAAATGATGTGAATTCTGTATGGATGCAAGGAACATGAAAATAATTCTTCTTTTGTGGATGTGCACAGGGCTGGTTACTGCACACTATCCCACTCAAGATTCTCCACACAGAGTTTATGCTACAAGGTCTAAAGGAGTACGTGGAGAGAAAACAAGCAGAAAAGAGTTCCAGCTCTGTTGTAAAGGAAGCTTAAAGGAGAGGGAGTACAAGAACCGTGCCAAGTTGTTTCTGTATACTGTATACCGTAACAACGGAATGACCAAAATTAGACAAATCCATTACATGATATTGGTTCATTTGAAAATGTGTTTTCCGATTAGAAATCATGTTAAGTTATTGCAACTTCCGGAAGGTCAGCACACTAAGTCACTTGTATGATTTGTTTGGCACAGTTTTTACGCAGGATGCCCTTCCTGACACACCCTTCCCATTTTTTTTTTTGGGGCCTGGGCTTGGGACCTGGAAATCGTGTAAAGTGAATTAAACAATTCTGGTTAATATGGTGAACCCCTGAATAATGAAAATCCACAAGAAACTGATGCCTTGTTATCGCCTACATGGAGTGGGGGAGATGTTGGAATGTTTGAAGTTGTAACGTGTCATGCAATATTTAATAAGACCACTAGAGGTTGCAAAAAGGCAAGACTTTGAATGACACATGTTGGAAATCAGGACAGAACTCGTTCTTAGAATTTCTCGGAGATGTTTTAGATCCCGTGACCCCGGACGGGATAAACGGTTCAGATAATGACTGGACGGATGTTTTAAGTCTGGGACCTCTCAGAAGAAAAAAATCTTGATTTGCTCTTGGTTGTTGAAGACAAGAAAAACATTGTCATGGATTCATGCAAATTTGGTCAGACGGTGTTGAATTGGTTAGCGCCAACAAAAGCAAACATGTAACTCAAGTAATGATGCTTAATATTGATACCGTCAACCAGGTATTTAATTTCACACTGTTTATTATATTAATGGTTTTATTTTGTAGTGGTGTATTAGTTTCATAGATGATCATATACCTTTGTGGCTGAAATATGTTTTTCACTTTCGGCAAAGCAGCTGATATAGAAATAGTATCATTCTTTTTATGATTCACAGTGGATGTGTTTGTAACTGCGCGAGAGGTCACCAGTAGTTTTGATAAACAACTTTTATGTTACTGTAGATGTTATAGACTAGTAACTTTTAACCACTGCATGAGAAATCATCAAACTTTGGAAAGTATTTTTTTTTTTTTTTTAACCCATCAACCTATGCCAGCAACATATAGTGACTGGCAGAACAAAATTGTTCAAACAGGCCCAGAGTTCACAAGTACAATTGTGAGTAAACTGAGATGAGAGATTATTTCAGTATTGTATGTATGCTTTTGGGAAAGTTCCATTTGTTTGTTTGCCATGAGATTTTTCTAATGTAATGTGCCTTGGCTCAATAAAGTTCAAGAAAAAAAAATGTCATGAATAATTTAATAAACTTGTACAGATTGTGCAAGGTATGCTGGTTGATGAAATACAAGTCAGCTACATCGATAAAACAAGCGTTAGTTGGGCAAAATTATTGCATATACAGTACTTTAGTTTAATGCAACACTTATGTGGGATTTTCCAGGTGTGTGTGTGGCTGAAATTAAAATTTGTTTACCCTTCTGAAACCCAAGGTGGGAGGGGATTTTCCTCACCTCGGCTGCTCTGTAATTTAGTGATACCACAACTTTTTGCCACGTTGTAATTTACCTTTTTTTTTTTTAACCAGCTCTGAGCACACTGAGTAGGACTCTGATCATAGCGCTTGCTTTTTTTTTTTTTTTAAGCGAAATGTCAGAGCTTCATTCACACAAAAATGTTTATACTGTGCAAAGGGTCTGCTAACCACCAGGCCAGGGCACTGTACTAAGCCCTTTATTGTTACAAAGGAATTTTCGGACTTATACTAAACATATAATACTGGAACTGTACAACGCAATCTATGAAAGAAAAGGGCAGCATGGTGCGTCTTGATGCTAGCATGTCTCACGGTTCTGAAGTTATTGCGGTTCGAATCGCAAACTTCTGTCTATGATTGCATCTTGAGTGACTGACACAGTGATTACAGTCCGGTACAAACATAAGGAATTTTTTCAAATCTTCAAACATTTTTAATCATTGACAGACCCCACATATAAAGACAGAGAATCAAGTATTTAACAGTTTTGGCCTTTTCGTGTGTGGTCTGCTCCGATCATGGCAACATAGAACAACACACACAAAGATTCTGTTCCACTTTTGTGAAGATTGGGTTCCGTTTTCCTAAAGTTGGGTTACTTACTTTTGACCCAGCAGCTTTTCAACGATTTCAACAGGCGCAAAGTTATTTTGCCGTCCGTCAAGGTGGAGGGGGCGTTCCTACGAAGGTTGTGACATAACACGCAAAAGGGGAATAAAATAAATGGCTTCAAGTAACCTTACATTTTGAAAATAAAATCCCCCACCCTTGTGGCTCCACGGGGCCACCGCTCCATTCGACCCCCCCTCCTCCCCACCATGCACACCCCTGGTTACGGAATATATTCTTGATCAATTCTGAATCGTGCACTACAATGGATTTTCTTGGCCATATAATTTTAGGGCAATACAAACAGAACCTCCAGTTGACCGCTGTGGCCGTACCAAAAAAAAAAAAAAAAAAAAATTGGGGGCTGCTCATGTAACAGATCACAATTGAGCACAAATTCTCCATAAGCGTGGCTTGAAAAACCTAGCGGGAGCCAGGGGAATGTTGTTCTCATGTCACAAAGCCTGTGGGTGGTCACGCTGGACGACAACCTCCACATGAGTGATGGAGCGTGCGCGTTTTAGGAGTGTTGAAGGCGAAACGGGGGTAGAGGAGAAGGTGGTGTCTCTGAGGATGCTGCCAGTGTGATGCCTCACCCCGCCCGAGACGCCTCTCGCTTGTTGTCTCAGTAAACACAAGGCCATAACCCGAACCCTAACCCAAAGATGATCCAACACAAGCATAAAGCAGCAGCGGCCCACCCAGGAGAGGGGGTCAGCAGCCATGTTCAAGGTTTGAGCCAAGTGTTAAGACGTGGAAGTCATTGCCGCTATCCGCTGTCATGATTGACACTATCTTCCAATCACCCAGCTGTCACAATCATCAAACCTTTTAGAGGAATAACAAACTGGTCACCCCCGCCCCCAAATATGCTGAATTGAGGAGCTGAGGTGGGTAGAGTAGTCAAAAATTGTACTCAAGTAAGTGTACTAGTTTAGAATAGGACACAAGTCAAAGTAAAAAGTACTCCGAGAAATAATTACTTGAGTAAGAGTAAAGGACTGAGTATCTGGAGAGCAACTTACGATGTATTTTTTTAATAGCACATGAACGTCGGAGATTATTTACTTTCGGCAACAGCACATTTTAAGAGAGATGGCTTTATGCGTCCCTTCAACGTATTTTTGATGCGGATTTCAAAAGTGTCTTTCCATTTTTTTTTTAACTTAACGTCACTTGTATTTATAGTGGATTGGTGAAACAGCTGTGACGCAAGTCTCGCTGTGTACAAACAATAATACATACAAGCAGTGAGGGGAATGTAGCTCAATGTAACAGAGTCCGTAAGTGCATTTCCCAGCCAAGAGTAGTTGTTGATGAGTTCATGAAAAATTGAGTATTTGTGAAATTATAACTCACAAATTAGTAAGGGTTCCCCGTTAATTTTTGGTATAAAATTCCACATGTGAGCACTTTAGAGGCATTCGCCGTCAAAGGTTCCACTGTAGCTACATGAAAAGGTAATGAGTGTTAGTGCAGCAGAGTGAGCTATTTAGCAATTCTTTGTGGTTCCACCGAAGATAATTCCAGCCCTCCATCTTCTCCGAGAGACCACACTGTGAAGACAAAATGGTGGTGGGAAAAGGATGAGGAGCTAATGATGAGAAGAGGAGGGAAAAGAGGTGGATTCCAAAAAAAGAAAGCAGGCTACAGCAAAAGTTCTCCATCGGGCCGCCGCTCACATATGGCTCAGCTTTGCTTGTGTAGGCCCACTTCAAGGCAAAGGGCCTTGCAAACATAAACAGTGCAGGAGCTACAGCTGGAGCGCGGAGGCCGCCACTTGCTTAGCGAGACCTCCGTCCGCTAAACAATGGATCAAGTGACGCACGGGCCCTTGGCAGCGCAACAGAGAGGCCGGCAGTTTAGCAGAAAAAAAAAATCCTGCCTTTTTTCCGTACGTTTATTTCTCGTCCCTCAATATTTACCCTCGTAAGAAAACACACCATTTTTGTTCTGAACAGACCTCCCTGCGTTCCGCCCCACCCCCTGCTGGGTCACAGAGGACAGTCACAAAAAGTTACAGATAGGCATTTTTCGGAAGAACTTTCGTGATAAACCTAAAATACAATCCAACCTTTATAGGTGAACTTAATTTGACTTTTTAATGTACCTTTCCTCTAATTGTTGGTTTACCGCAAAACATAAAACTGTACTGCACTGGTACGCCTTGATACGGCTGGATCTGATATTCAGAAACGTAATCTTGGTTATAAAAGCTCATGTTGCATTTTTTTTAAAAATTACAAACCGCTACCTCAGAGTATAGTAATTTGGCCCTTCTACAACAAATGAATACAGATAGTACCTTGAGGGACACTTGGTGACTCCACTCAACCTGCACTTCTGACAGCGTGCTCTCGGGATGTGTTTCATCACTTTGTTATGCACGCAGCGTATCTACGGGTGGATTGGTTGGGTTGAGGGCCCCCTCGGGTCAATGAAGGCCACTGGTCATTCACTTTTTTTTTAAAGTCAAATCAAACTAGGTGTCACTGTCTTGACTTGTGCAAATAAACTCTGCAAAGCCACGTCGGCGCGTCCACTTTGTAACACGCTCATTGACACTCAGCTTATTTTGCACGCACATTGACACTCAGCTTATTTTGGCAGGAAATGTAAACAGACATCTCACCTTTCCCTTGTCACACTAATGGAGGAACAGGCAAAAATGAAAATGAATCCTCACAGCTGTGGGGTTCCCTCTGCAAGGAATACAATTCAAACAGTTATTACGAGCAGGAGACAATTTCGAATATGAGTAAAGGGTCAGCTGGCAGTACCGCAGTAAATATTCATCATTCTTTGCAGACAATAAAGACCAACTGCCTGTAGGTACAATCTAATTGTTTGTCAACATGTGTTGTCCCACCGTTTGTGTACAGACATGTCACATAGATGCTAATTGTTCGCCCATGTGCCTCTGTAGTTTCCCATTGCGTGTTAGCGTTTATGAAGGTGAAGCTACGTGCTTTCTTCAAATACACGATGTGTCATCGTCTTTGTTTTATGTTTAGTTTGACAGTAACCTTCAACTTAGAGTAGCAATAAACAGTCACACCTACACACAGTTTAGCTTATGATAGGCGCCACATTCTTGACTGCTCAGTGAAAGCTTGGTGAGGGTGTTGTTCATGCACCAGTGCCATGAATGAAGTGTAGCCTCTATAAATGAAAATTCTTTCGTCTTTATGGGTGCATTCAATGAAGTTAACATGTTTATGGAATGTGGGAAGAAGCCTGAGTAAAGCCAAAGAAAACCCATGCAAGCATGGTCGAATGGCCAAACTCCACACAGGAGCTGAGATTCAAACACCGAAACTCAGAACTGTGAGATACGGCATGCGAATCGCTAAAACACCACGCTACCTTATGCTACAATTATCTTTTAGGAAAATCGCTTCGTTGCGCCAGTTGACCTCCATGTGCTTCCAACTAGTGTCAGTCAGTGGGCGAGCTGTTCCATTGTTCAATTCCCAGCTATCGCACTTCAACTGGCTGCCAAATGAACGATCATAATCTAACACATAAAGGGAGTTGTGGGTGGAAAAGACGAGGGAAAAAAGTGTGTGTGTGTGTGTGTGTGTGTGGGGGGGGGGGCGTGTAAAGCGTGAAAGGGGCCTTTTCTTTTTCTCTGGCTGCCGTGTAAACTGCAGGTGTGACAGTGAAGACAGCAGCCATCCTACCACCCATGCACACAAAGATATTCCAGGCGGCCGTGTCTTGCTGAGGCACGCACCTCCGCTCGTGTTTAGCGATAACTATCAGCACTTTCTCGCGACAGCCAAACTTCTAAAAGGCAGCTCCGCTTACCTCAGCGTTGCAGCTGAAAGAGATTAAACACAGGTCGGAGTGTGAGCTGAATGCACTTGAATGAAACTTCTTATTTGGCCTCAATGTGACCGACATGAAAGCCATCATAAATGTGCGTTCCCCGCGGTGATAATATCGACTTTCTGGTAATTTTCCAGTGGGCTGGGGTGCTATATGTGCTCCTCGGGCCGTATTTTCCTCGAGCCCGTAGATCCATTTTGAAATCAGCAAATTTGAGATGGGCATTTACAATAGAGTAACTTCCCATCGAAAACAGGAGCACTCACACTTAGGACATCTTCAGCAAAGCAAGCGTCCGCCGGACCTTTCTTAAGTACTGCTTGACGGCCTGGATCTCACCAGTAAGAGTACACGTAAAAGTGGGCTGGATTTTGTCAGCGAGTGTGTCAGAGTGAGCTCGATCTCACTGGTAAGCGTTTCAGTCAAAGCGGGGTGGATCTTTGCCTGTGTGTGTGTGTGTGTGTGTGTGTGTGTGTGTGTGTGTGTGTGTGTGTGTGTGTGTGTGTGTGTGTGTGTGTGTGTGTGTGTGTGTAAGAGTGGGTTGGATCTCGCCAGTGCATTCCAGGCAACTGCTTCGTTCGCTTGCGAAAGCTGACGCCAAAGCGTGCCAAACAAAATGTGTTCCCATTAAGAAGACACTTGTAAAATCAGTTTATCTCAGGAACGCAGCAATTCATTTACTAATGTGAATGGTGTGCCTGGACATGACTAACCCCCACGTCGACAAATTCGCAGAGCAATCGAGTAGCGCTTGTGCTGCTTGTCAGAAGCTAAAACTAATTTGTGCAGACAACAAAACTTGGTCTACGTGGTCATGCCACTCAGTATTAAGGTGACTGTTATGTAAATGACATCTCAGAACCCCTCCCCACCTCCCCAAATAATAATAATAAATCAAAATAAAATGTGACAATACATACTTTTATAATACATGCACAGAATGACTGAGTGGCAAAGTCAACAGGAATGTGAGTTTATTTAAGTAAAAACCAACAACCAATCTTTGTCTGCGTTCATTTAACCGGCAGCAAACATTAAAAGATTAAAAACAGGTGAAAATGACAAAGTAAAATAAATATTGACCTTCAATTAAGAGAAACAACTAAAAAGGCTTTCACTTTTAGCTGGAATATAATCAAAAGCACAATATTTAATTTGTAACGGGACTGTTTTAGTCAGTAGCTTGAAGTAATCAGATTAAAAATGTACCTAATGACGTCAGCATTTTTCCATCCGCTGTTTGGTTGGTCAGCGTAAAACTGGTAAAAGTCAAGTTCAACAAGTTAAAAAAAAACATATACACAGATCTGCAGGGCAGTAAATACAAGGCCGGAGATGTTTACCTTTGGATAAAAACAATAAAAGTGATGTTTGGTGATGCATGCTTTATGTTGAACAGCTTTTATTTCTTCCATAGAAACTTGTCGTTGGTCTTCCAGAGACTTTTGCTCTCCTTCTCCACAGATTGAGCGCGGGCTGCCAAATTGGTTTTGACGCAAACTCTCTGCACTTCGTCCAGGTCCGTAAGCCTATTGATGCTCTCTTCGTTGCCTTCGTTCAGAATGTCCCAGAAGTCTTTGCAGCCTCCTCTCATAGTTTTCGGCTGTGTCGTAGGAGAGTCACGCGCACCAGAGTTGAAGGTCCTTCTGGATGAAGGGGGAGAACCTACGACGGAAGTGGATGTTTTATGGGGGGAACCCTTGCATTTAGGTTTGAGCAAGTCATCGAGGATGGAGGTGTCGCCTAAGAGTTCTGTGAGAATGCAGGCCCCTTCTTGAGGGGACGCCTCCTGGGACTGTTCTTGAACATTTGACTTTTGCTCCACGTTGAGGGGAATATCCGCCACCTCTTGAGCGTCTAGACATCTACTGCTGCCGCTGGCCTGACACACACCAAGACCACCAACAGTTCTGGACACACTAGCCTTCTTTGTCCTCCGTCGACCTCTCGCACAGCTGACCGCCTCCTCCTGCTCTTCAGGATCCACACTTGGGGACTCCCGCGCATTCTTCTGTAACTTCTCTTTCTTCTTCTCAGGTTCAGGACACTTCTGGTTGGATTTACGCCTTCTGGTCCCCAAGTTTTTGGGAGGTGGGGTCTGGGCTTCGTCAGATGGCGCGAAGTTGCTGGCGACGAAGCTGGCGAGTTCTGGGTGGCCGAGAGTGACGTAATAACGTCTCAGCCACTCGAGCCTCTGAGTCGAGTCGCTTCTCAGAACGTCGGCGGCGAACTGTTGGGCCGAGGGGAAATTCAACTTGGACGCCATCTCCTGCAGCTGCTCCCTATTCACCAACACACACACACAAACTTGACATCGTGAGGTTTTTAACACCGGCAGCTCTAATTTGGCAAACGAATCAACACTACAGTGTAACCTGGATTTCCCATCTTTAAGATTGCACAATTTGGTTTTCCAGGAAAATTCGGGGGGAAATGTGCCATGATATGTGATGTCAGCATTTCTAGTGAGCCTGGTGTGCACTTCATTACAAATATTTTCGATTTTTAGAAGTAAAAATAACCAAGTGAGAAATTGTGGTCAAACAAATGTGTACACACTCTTGTAACAGGATGTGGGTGAGTTCAGAATAAATGTATCACATTTAAACTCATGTTAAATGCGATCAGCACACAGTAGCTATTTTAAGTACCTCTGATTTACCCCAAATAAACTTCAGATGTTTTAGTAGGCTTTTCCTGACATTTTTGTAGTTATACCTGAGAGCACAATCCATAGCCCGAAGACGGCTTCCACATGCGCGTATTCAGAACCAAAACAAGACCAATCTGTACTAATGAGAGGCGAGAATGAATGTCCTCTTCCTCGCTTCGACACAAGCACTGTCAATTATTCATTTTAGAATCTGCTGTGGGCTGCTAAAATTGGACTGCAGAGTACAAATGCCTCCAGGGCCATAGTTTGGATACCACCCCCGTTGTAATTTGTCCATTGGTGTGCATGGTAGTGTGAATGGTTATTTGTCTAGCATATATGTGCCCTGTTTGACTGACAACCTGTCCATTGTGTACCCCTCCTCTCGCCTAAAAGTCAGCGGAGCAAAGTTCCAGCTCCCCCACAACCCTAATGAGGACAAGCACTATACAGAAAATGGATGGACCTTACAGGAAACATTGCCGGTGTTGTGAATATAGATTTTATAACAGTGACTGCTGGTCTCTGGAATGAATTATTCCAGATATAATGACTACCAATGGGAAATTTTGTTTTTAGGTCAGCCAGCGTCACATAGTGCATTGTCTTCAACTTTGGCACTTTCACTGCATTTGGAACTCACCATCTGCTACTTATTGTGTCTTTTTTTTTTTTTTTTTTTTTTTAAGCCACAAGTCCAACGCTATTAATCAGATCTTCTGGTGGCACATCATGCACGACCCAAGATGAATACTTCTCCACATAGTCAGGCGTTTTCGCTTTGTTTTCCTCTGGCGCCCCAAGGCCCTTGTTATTAAAAGTGTGGTTTATCCGGACTCAGGATCAGAAACACTTCAAAGTGTGGCAGTAACAAGTGGTGTTCGTTAATAGAACTTGTGGCTTTCCCTGGAAAAACCAATAAATAAAAAAGTGATGGCAGTAAAACCCCCGTGCGGACTTGAATTAAACGGAACGGGGAATCTATATGGCTGGTATGTTTTCACACATTTGTGTGCCTCAGGGCGGAGACAGCTTCTTCCACCTGGGGAATGATATCACAGCTAAAGAAGGTGCCGGTGTGTGTGTGTGTGTGTGTGTGTGTGTGTGTGTGTGTGTGTGTGTGTGTGTGTGTGTGTGTATTTTGGAAAGATGTCTACATTAAGTGTTTCATTGGAAGTATGTGCATATCCGTCGTAAAGTCCCTGGGGGCCATCTTTTTTTTTCCCCTGCACCGTCGGGTCTGAACACAAGTGTGTAATGTTTGGCAGGATGCTGGTAAAAGGGTGGTGGGGTGAGCTCAGAGGTGGTCTGTGTGAATACATGCCATTTCCCGAGGCCCAGATGGGGGCGCTCGACATTCAATCTGCGGTGAGCTTTGGCCGACTTCCCAACACTGCCAGGAATTCTCCCTCCATGAAAAATCCACCACTTTCTTGGGAGGGTACACACTCCCCACCTTCCCCCGCCCCCAACTACCGTCTATATTCTCCTTAGGATTCTTCCTGTTTCTCACTACCTGCGCATGGCGAGAGGGGTCTGCCCCAAGATAAAGGTGTTACATCTGGTGTGCTGCACGATGCTCTTAGTGAAAGTGACAGGGTGATGACCAGGAAGCTGCTGCGGAACGTTGAGAGCGGCACAAGGCTGTTGGTCGGGTTGGCTTTCTGACAAGCTTCCCTGTAGTGCAGCATGTAAAACAAACAAACAAACAAAAATGAGCACAAACCTTATCATAGTGAGCCCCCGTTTACCACGGGGGAACACGCTCCAGACCTCTGTGCAATAAGTGAAAATCTGCCATTTCAAGAGACCACAGAAAAGTTCTGAAGTGCAATGATCGTCAGCCAATCTGAAATTTTTGTTATTATCTATCCATTCATCCATCTTCTGATCTGCTTTATCCTCACAAGGGTCGCGGGGCGTGCTGGAGCCTATCCCAGCTGTCTCCGGGCAGTCGGCAGGGGACACCCTGAACCGGTTGCCAGCCAATCACGGGGCACACAGAGACGAACAACCATCCGCACTCACATTCACACCTAGGGACAATTTCGAGTGTTCAATCAGCCTGCCAGGCATGTTTTTGGAATGTGGGAGGAAACCAGAGTACCCAGAGAAAACCCACACAGGTACGGGGAGAACATGCAAACTCCACACAGAAAGGCCGGAGCCGGGATTGAATGCACGACCTCTGCACTGTGAGGTCGACACGCTAACCACTCGACTACTGGGCTAAAGGCTATCTAAAGGCTCAAAAATAAAAATTATAAAAAAGGAAAAAAAAAAAAAAAGACTCATACATCAAAAAACTCTCCAATCGTATCTCAAGGCGCCATTCTTTGGGTTGCGGGCGAGCTGGAGCCCATCTTAGTTGACATTCTACTCAAGGACTGGTCGCCAGCCAATCACAGAAAATGAGATACTTTCATTTATGGTTTAGTTTCCTTCAGCTTGGAACGCACATGACGTTGGCTGTTGGTCAATATGCGATCATGTCTTCATTTACATTTTTGTGGATTCATGAAATGAAATTCAAGGAGCAAGTACGCTTCAATTGCAAGTCTGCATTTTCTAAGAATGGTCAAAACGTCAGCGTTGATTTGGTTAAGCAGGGCACATACATTATGATGATCCGTCCAAATTTCAGCATTTATCTCCATTCAGACACTAAAGCATGGACAGTATTTTCTGCTTTCAATCTTTTTGTCCGTTCAAATATGTCAACAATGTGCTTAAATGTGGATTTGTAAATTTGAATGTGTTTAAAGCAGGGGGGCGGGTAAAACTGAAAAGGTCTGTTCTTGTACAGTATAGCGTATTTTCACCTAGCGCTGGTTCAGTTTGGAACATATTGCCTGAGATAAACGGGGCTTCACTGTCTAGTGGTTTAAAATGTGTTGTGTACCTCATCGGGGGTGAGGAGTTCATTTGCAGGAAGTTGAGAGTACATCTTGCGCTCAAACACATCCTTCATCGCGGCTCTACTGATCAGCTCCTCGGCTTTGCTCCCGCCCACCACGCGCTGGTTGGAATGCGTGTACGCCACCTCCCGCACCCCACCTTCGATCAGGAACAGAGGTCATTCTAGTCAAATGCGACGACATGACTTTTCTCCATAGTCTTACCTAAGATAGTATCAATGGTTTCTGTGGAGGCTGTAGATGTTTGCCTTTCCACATGAGTGAATGTAGAACCTTCATGTCGACCCGAGCTTGTTCCAGATCCTTGACCATCTTTTGGTAGCCCTGCTTTGGTTTTATCTGCGCGCTTGGTGTTCTCGTCCTCTGAAGTTGTGAAGGTCTCAATGTCCTCAGTGAACATGGCTCCTCTGCTCGTGTTTCTCCTTCTGCTGTGTACTCTTCTTCCTTGTAGTTTCCTTCGTGTTTTTTGGTGGGGGTTCAGGGTGTCACCCTTAGACCGTGTTAGCGTCTCAATGTCGAAATCATCCGATTCATCGGAATATTGCTCAAAGCGGTGCGATTTGGAAAGCAGCGGATTTTTGGAACTTCTCGCACTCTCCTTGTCACTCGCCTCTACACTGGTCCTACATAATTTCGGGCCTTGTTTTGTATTGCCGTTCAATATCGTGATTTTTCCCTGTTCAGGGTAAACATTATTCCCAATGTTGAAGCTCTTGGAGACCGAAGTGCTTGTCCCCTCACCACCTGAACTACTGTCCCCATCACCCGACTCCGGCATTGCTTGAAGCCTTTGGAGCAGTATGGCAAAATCCTGCTGCAGCAAACTGGTTGGACCAAGCCTGGTGGAGGAATCCATATTTCTTGTGCCACGCCCTCCACTGGGACTTCCCCGCTCCGCCTCGACATCATCGTCACTCCCACTACTGAAGTCCTGCAGCCCTCTGGGGATCTTAGATTCACCCGAGCTCTCCTTGGATGCATCTCCAGCTTCCTGCAAGCAAAAAACATAGGAGTACGTTGGCATAGAAAAGGGTTGGAAGCTATTAAAAAAAGGGCCTATGAGAACATTCCTGGTGGGATACAAAACAGATGTTCGTAATAGCAAATCATAATAAACCACAATGTGACACAGGCTCCCATTATGATGTAATATGAGGAACTGACATGTCCAGAAGCTATAAACATTTGGACTTCATTTGGACCACCAAGCATGATCCAGTTTTTAGTATTCACTGGACAGATCTGTCCATATCGGGAGAGTTTGCATGCATGCATGTGGAACCATAAACGCTATAAGCTTCACTGTGCGTATGATTCAGGTTCATTCCATAAATCTAATGGATGTCTGGAGCAAACCCAACTAAAGATGATTTAAGACATTTTGAAAAAAAGGAATTGGACAGAGGGCAACACGATTGGTGGTTTGGGTTTGGGTTCACATTACTGGGCTTCTGGGTTCGAATCTGGAGTTTGCATTTTCTGCCGATGCTTGCTTGGTGGGTTTTCTCCATGTATTGTGGCTTCACCACACCCTCCAACAACATGCATTTTCGATCCAATGATGACACTTAATTGTCCTTCGGTGTATGAGAATGAATGTGAATAGTTGGTTGTCTGTATGTGCCCTGTGATTGAATAACGAGCAGTCCAGTAGTAGTTTGTTATCGTTTTACAAAGGAACCAGAATCACTTTTGTTAGTCAGACGGTTGACAGACCCCACAGGAAGGCCCCCAGAAGAGGTATCCCCGTTTTAAGCATGGGAATGAGAGGTTTGAGCGGGCCACTGGGGAGAGAAGATGTGTGAGCAAGGGATGGGAAAGATGTGTGCTCCGTGTTCCGGGTCTCTGAGAAAAGCAGAGCGACTCACGCCAACGCCGTGCCTATGGGTCTTGTCCTCCTCTTCCTCCTCCTCCACAGCCTCCACGTTTGTGTGTGTGCTGGTTGTCATGACGCCCGCCTCCACTTGTCCTTCACGCTAGAATGAGGAGGATAAAAAATATGCAAGATAAAAAGTTATATGCTTCCGAAATACAAAGTTTAGGGACTTAAATCCTATATTTTTTGGATGGAGCTTTTGTATGGTAAGTTATTATTGCCACGCCAAATCTTACCTCAAGTATTTTGCGGGTGAGGCAAGTGCCTTGGGTCTGCAGCCTGAAGAGGTTATTAATGCCAAACAGTTCCCCCTTATAGGCGCCCTGCACGGCATCAAAGTACCGCCGTGCGCTCTCCACGCCGACAACAGAGCTCTGCAATTGCTGATTGCAAACAAAAATTATCGTTTAATTGATCATTTCAAGATGCCCGTGCTTTTTTTCCTGTGGGATTTATATGGAATATTTGTTTGGGTCTGTCATTCCGACATTTTTGTGCATCCTTTGACAATAGATGGTCAGGCAGTGAATCGTTGTCAGGGGCAAATTTGTTTTTTTAAACTTCCCAGGGGTGCTACTAAGTGACTTTGGGGGTCTCCCTGGGGACCCCTGAAACACCATTTTCATCAGGATATACACACACAGCAAACATTTTAGCAGCATGTTAAGGGCCCTGAAAAACAGCGAACAACACAAGGCTCCAAAGCATTTAACCCACAGATGACTGAAATATATTATTTCTGTGTAAAGAAATTATCTTTTTTTTTTTTTAACCACTTCAGTGAAATTTGGTAATATCCTGCCACAGACATGACCTCCCATGACAAATCAACATCAAAATTGCCTCAGTACCTGTTTGTAAACTTGTCTGAGATAGGTAATTTCCTCCACGGTCCCCAATGAGATTAGCCTGAAAACAGTCACGTCTCTGCACTGGCCAATGCGATACGCTCTATATGCCATGCAAAAAAAACAAAACAAAAAAAAAACATGCAAACCATGTCAAACAAGCATGACATTTGTATGCAAAAGAATGGAATCTTATAAAAATGGACAAACCTGTCAATAGCCTGGAGGTCATTGGCTGGGTTCCACGTTGGATCAAATAATATCACCACATTGGCCCCTACAAAGTTTAGACCAAGACCTCCCGCCCTGGAAAGAGTCAATATTGTCATCATTTTTTTTTCTTCACATCAAATATTACAGTATTTTCTCAAAGATGTCCATCACGGTGTCAATGAGTAAAAAAAAAAAAAAAATACAAAAACAAAAAAAAACAACAAAACACTTCTCTCAGATAGAGGTCTCAGAAATAAGTAGTAACTGCAAAGTCTGCTGCTAAGCAAAAGAGCAGGACCCATAAACAGTTTTTCAGATAAAATTAAGGGTACAGTTTTAGTGTATATTTTAAACCAGTTGCCTGAGCAACATTATCTGAGATGATTTAAAGTGATCGCTGCGCAATGTTGCGTGCATCCTTGTTTATGTGTCACAGCTCACTTATTTTTGACCTCCCTGCATTTAACTTCAGTTTCCCCCTGCACAAATTACAATCTAATAAATTTGTTTAATATTCCAAAAATGTGTGATGTCTAAAACAAAGCCGTCCCTCAATCCGCGGAGTAAATAAATGCCTATCTACTGAAATAGAGTAATTTGGAATTTTTTTGGAGTATGTATGGGCAGACTAACATGGTGGACACCAGGCACAGGTTGATGTGAGCGGAGGTGTTGAACTCCTTGACGATGTGGACTCGTTCCTTGGCTTTGGTGCTCCCATCCAACCTGCTATAGTCATACCCTTCAGCCATGCAGTAGCTCTCCAGAATGTCCAACAGCTGACAGGACCCAAACAACAACAATAAAACAAATCCGGTTAATTGTCATTGGAATATGTGGTCATTCATTGGGAATGACTGGGGACCATTCCCGGGTCAACCCCACCTCTCATCCAGGGTTAGCTGGGATAAGTTCCAGCTTCCCCGGAAAAGCATGAAAGAAATTGGACGGCTGGTTAAGAGATGCTGACATGCTACTCTGCTACCCAGTTAATTTCTCAAAATCGCCATATGTTCCAAATTTGATGAACCCTGAATATTTCAAAATGAAACATACACGAGTGGAAAATTAACAAGTGTCAATAAAAAAACCAAGCATCATGATCACCACGAACAGCGCTTGGTTGACTGCCATAACAATGCTGAAATCAATGTCCTCAACTTAATATTATCGTTCAGTCTCTGGTGACACTGCAGTGTCTCATTTTCTTAAGAGCTCTAATTGCTTTCCCGCGTAAAGCCCCACGGCTTACACACTAATCCCAATCACGAGAGAGTGAGAAAGAGAAAGAGCCACATCTGCTGCGTGTGTTTTGTCTATAAATAAGGTATGGGGCTTGAACGGGAGCAGCAATTAAGTGTGCCTATAGCCTAAAAACTGAGCGGCTGTGAATGCGAGTCACCATTTGAGAATGTTGACGCCTTCCAAATTCCGCCGTAAAGATCACAAATCATCAAATTTCCAATTTCCTATGGGACAGATGCCCGTCTAATGAGACTTTGTACTCTCTTTGGACACCTAATTTGATACACTTTAAAAAAAATTGAAAAAAAAGTCAACGTTTGCAGAATTGATCAAAACTTAAAGGAAAAATGTATCTTAAATGTACAAATTTTGCAGGTGTTTTTGCAACAACTTTTGTTATGGTTCTCTAAAGGGAAGTTTCGCACTTCACTGGGCTTACTGTGCTTGGTTTCTGTTCCCAATCCTGTTTGCTTAAAAGCCACTCAGACAGATCCCGATAATTTTGAGTGAGAGGTCAGGTACACTGTAGACTAGTCGCCAGCCAATCGCAGGGCACATATAGACAAACAACCAATCACAATCACGTTCATAACTAATTTAGTCTTCAATGAACTCAAGCATGTTTTGTTAAATATGAGAGGAAGTACGCAGAGAGAATGTATACAGGCACGGACAGAACATGTAAATTCCACATGGGTAGGCCTGAGCCATTATTTTAACCTAAAATCTGCTTACCATTGCACCACAAATTAATGGGACCAATTATTTCAAATATAATTTGTCGTAAATGGAAATGATTGTGCATTCAATCACAGCCCTTACCTGAGTTGATAGTGAAAAGAGGAGCACCTTGTCTTTCCTTTGCAGATAGAATCTTAGGAGCTTCTGCAAAACCTGAGGGGGAAAAAAAAATGTCTTCATTAACAAACATGTACAGAGAGGATATAAAAAGTCTAAACATCGTGCTTAAAATGAAAAATAAATACACCAGGATCATTCGAAATGTTTTCCACCATTAAGATGACCTTACTGACGATAGAAATCAATTGATTTTTTTCTCAGTTTTACGAGGGGGGGGGGGGATAATAAACTGACAACCAGCGTGTGCACCTTCTTCACGTGCCTGTGTTCAGACTTAACTGATCACATCTCAAGCTTGTGTTGGATGGGAGTCTGCACAAAGCCACCACCATACAAATTGCCTCCCTTTAGTCCCAAATAGAGTAAAAAAATAAATAATAATAATAATAATAAATATAAAAACATTTAAGCACGCCGAGCCTTATTCCCGTACCGCACCTTCATTTTGCCACTATACATCGGGTCCGACAGCGCCTCAAATGCTTCATCTTTGCACCTCCGCATAAACTCTGGAAACTTCTGGAACACCTTTTGACAAATGGCGCTCACGCACTTTTCCTAAAAGAACGAAAGTCAAGTTGCGACTGAGGCAATTAGCGTGAATGATAGAAAATGTGTTGATTATAGTACCTGTTTCTTACTGGTGCCTGTGGTGGACTGGAGCAGTGCCACGTGACTGGCAACCTTCCTCAGTACAGACAGATAAGTGAAGTATAGCGCCTTCGCTGGCACACCCTCAGAATTGATCTGCAAGGGAGGAACTTGTGTTATGGAAAAGTGTCTTTTTAATGGGTTCAATAAGAACAGTTCGGGTCTCTGGAGTACCGGCCCAACAATCAATTGCGAAATTAAACAGCGAAGTCAATGTTTAATCTGCCCTATTCATGACAATGCGTCTGTAAGCAAACCGTTGTGAACGTCCTCCCCACGGTTAGGAAACTAATTGACACAATAACCAGACCTACTCCACTAGCAATGCGAAGGCTGCATTTGATCATGGTAATAGAAGCAGAACTTGTCACTGGCCCAGCAGTTGAAATTTTTAAAATTGTAAAAATGTGCAATATGTCTCACAACTGATTATCTTTGTAAAGATAAAGGCCTTGCTGCTAGTGAGAACGCATTCAAAACAATGCTGTATTTTGAACTTTAGTGGTGCATTTAAGGGACACACAAATATGCTACGCTAAACTGGTAGATTTAAAGACTGCGTTCACTCTAAATCCACAAACTCTTATCAAGAGTTAAGTGGAAGGAAACAATTATTCAACCCCTGTGCGCGACCACGTTACAAGGCCTGAAAGAGAAAAAAATATATATAGCAGAGGTGGACTGACTTTATAGCAGCATCTCCTTCGAGCACGTCCACTTTGGCAATCGCATTTCTCTGAAGACCTCAAAAGCAATTGCACATCTTCAGAGTCTAGCACAGTTTGGTAGACCGTCTGCTGAAAGTCAGTCAGAGAGCAGTACACCACCTAGAGTACACCACCAAAAGATAGCACTTCAGCACAGTGCCACTTGGTCATCACCTGAGAGCACAACATTACCCACCCTGTCATCCTTCTTCGGGAGTTGGTCCTGGATGAGCAATTTGGTCCTTCGGAGGAAACAGTAGGAAATCTTTCTCACCAGGTCTCTGATGGTCTTTCTCGCTGTCGCTAAGGCTCGCTTGGTAGCACTGTGTTTCTGGCCTCGCTCAACTGGTTCTGATACCTTGGTCTTAAAATGCCCCAGGTTGCCAAGACAGCCAGGGACGGCCCTGTGTGGAAGAACAGAACAGCAAGGTTACACATAGTTCCAGAAAATGCAAAACACATGCCAGACTGAATCGCTTGATAAGTCACTGAACAGTCCTGTGACAAATTTGGAATTGAATGACTTTTTATTAATGATCAAAAAATGCCCACAAGCAAAAACTTACCAGTCCATAACACACCACAACTCCTCAAGGTTATTCTGAAGGATGGTGCCAGTTAGGCCAATCCTGATCTGAGTTTAAAAAAAAAAAAAAAAAAAAGCTGATTCATTTAACATCTACACATGTTGCCATATATATTCGAGGACAAAACCTGACCTGACATTTGAGACCCTTCATCGCTTGAGTGATTTGAGAGTTTGGATTCTTGATCTTGTGAGCCTCGTCTACAAACACAGCGGACCAGGTGATGCTGCGGGAGAAGAAAAGGTCATGTGAAGAATATAAATGGTCATTAAAACTTCAGGCAGTATTAACTATGACCAACCTTGATGCCATGTTCCGACTCCAATAAATGGCATAGGCCACTATCACCGATCTTTTTCTAACAAGGGCTGGTTTATGGGCCGGAGCCTCAGCACTGTGAGGTCGACACACTAACCACTGGACCACCGGGTTGCCTGAGATAAGGTACTGTATAACATATATACCTGCTACAAAATGTAGAAAAAGAAGAAAAAATTCTATCTGTCGGGAAGGGTATAAAATGGGCCGTGAACCAGTGGTTAGGGACATCTGGCATTGTCAACAAGTTTTACAAATTAGCCTTATCAACCTGTCTAATAATTGCTTCCATTTCCTGAGTAAAAGTAAAAAATAATCACAATAATCAAAAAATCCCTGGAATTCACCCAAACTCAAACCAAAATTCAAACCAAAGTGCCAGAGTTAACCCATTTAATCCCAAATTTTTCCCAGACATTTAAAAGTCAAAATCAGGTGTCATTGGTAGCCCTTTTAAGTAAACAGTAATAAAAAATTTTAGAGCCCTGTAAATTAAATCATTGTTGTCCTTCACAAATGTGATCGGTGGGATTAAATGGGATAAATTATGCTCAATTTCATTCCTGAAACTATTTCATATGTTATATTATGGTGGACATGTCAACCAAGTTTTGTGTCAGTGGGCGAAACTGGTGTCGGGGCCTGATTTATTCCGTTTTTCCGCCGCTTAGGCTGATATAACACAATGATAAATGTTTGTATACACTCTACCAATCAAGTTTGTACACACTTTCTGCTTCAGCAGCATTAACAAGTGCCTGAAATATTTTTACAGGCCAAAGAAATAAATGCACAGAACAGCATTAACGCAGACAGGAAGTCATCATTTGTGTCTTCCACTTGCATCTTAAAGTCTCTCACTTATTAAATTGAGTCAGACAGAGGCGAAGAGTCTCATAGGTGGTGAGCGTGATCTCCACGCGGCCCTTCTTGACGCGAGCCAGCTCCTCCTGTTTCCTCAACCCGTGGACCACCGCATACTGGAAGTGGCCCCAGGTGTCCAGTTCATCTTTCCAGTTATACAGCACTGACAGCGGGGCCACAATCAGGAAAAGCTACAACAGATCGCAAAAACACTTGCGCTGATGACATTCGCAGGCAACCGCAATCCCCGCCGCTCCATCCCTCCCCCATCTCACATTATTGTTGCACTTAATGCAGTCTTCATCTGGATGAATGTCATCTGAAAACAAATGTCACTGCCCTGCCTTTCACGCTACTTTAGCCATTTTGATGTGGTTATCATTGCACCCACTTTCTTTGGCTTCCTCTGCTTGGATGGAGTCTGACTTTGCAGAAAGTGAGGCTTGTTGCTCTCAATGTCCTCCCAAGTTCCTTTTTTGTGCAACGCCGCCGCGAGGAAACCAAGGACCTGCAACAGAACCCCAAGAGCAATGTGAAGAAACGCTCCTCACTATTTGACAGGTTCATTGTTTTGTCCTCAATGACAACATAAATTATAGATAAGGAACGCTCTCGTATGGGATTTGATATGAATGATGGCTACTTTTTTTTTTTTTGTTCCAATTTAACTTTGACAGACACAGCAACATATTGCATCATCACTTGAGCCTTGGCAAGCTAATGATGTAAAGTAACATATCCTGCCTTCATTTTACCTTTGGAAATATAAGGAACAGCCAAAGCAACTATTTTACCTTTGATTGCACTTTGGCAAGATGAAGAAGCAACATATGGTGCCTTCTATTTCGCTCTGGAAAGAGGACAAATAGGCAACGCAAGCTTGTGCCATCATTTTCATATGTATTCCTTGTTTAACCAAGTAATGCAATTGAGAGCAATTTCTCATTTGAAATGCCAACCTGGAGGTGAACTCAAGGACTTGAACACATCAAACAATCTGGGATGGGATTCAAACTGCCAACTCTTCCATCACTAGAAGACCCGTTCAACCAACTGAGCCACACCTGCCCTGATGAAGCACATATGCCCCTCCTTGCACTTTGCCAAGATAATTAAGCAACACATTCTGCCATCCCTGGTAGTTGGAAAGGCAAACAGAAAATGCAGTATATCATGCCTTCCCTTGCACTTTGTCAAACACTTTTACCAAATATTCCAGGCTGCTTTGATGTATACCTGCACGGTCTTCCCAAGGCCCATGTCATCACCCAGGATACATCCTCTGGAATGGCGATAGTTACTGTAAATAAACCTGATGCCTTCTCTCTGATAATCCCTCAGGTATCTGTTGATGGTGTAGGGAACAATGTCTTCACTTCCATCATACAGCTTTAAGGGAACACATGCCCTGGAATGTTCCACGCCGCTGGAAAACAATGGCTTCTCTCGCTTCAGATTATTAAAATCAGATGCTGTGAGTTTTGATGTAACATCATCTTCTTTCGCTTCCTCCTCTTCAGTGTAGCCATCAGTGACATCATCGTCATCACTACCGGATGTGGTGTTCCATCTGTGGGTGGTGTCTAAATGCTGGGTGTCATCACCATGATCAGGCACCAGGTGGTGGCGGGTGTGCCAAGCTGCTGTAAAGTGACAACAGTTTTTAATTTATTATGAAATTGAAGATTTGAAGATTACACATAACATGAGAAATATAAGTATTTACAATTAAAGATCTTTTAATTGCTGGATTTTTACAAATGTATTAAAAATAAAAAAAAACTGCGGTATGTACACAAGCTTGAAAACCCCTTTCGACCTTGTGGCATCATATAATGAAAGACTTGAGCCTGCCACCGTAGCCAAAGTTGCACTCAACTGAGCAAAGGTGTCAACACTTGCGGTTTTAAGATGTAATTCTTTTTTTGGAATAAGGCTGTAATATAACAAAATGTGGGAAATGTCTTGTTTGTTTATTTGTTTTGTGACGGGCTACCGTACTAGTAAAATGTCACAACTCACAACGAACTCTCAAAGTATTAGGAAGAACGCTCCACGGGCTCCATTTCGTATTTAACAAATATTATGACGGCTATTGACAACGACTAATGGAAAAATAACCACAAAAAAGGCAAAAAGGTCTGCTTCGCTAACCTTCTCCAACTGAGGTAGACTCCGTCATGCTATTATTAGCATCCTCGCTTCCTCTTCATACGGAGTAAAAGCGACATTTGAGAGCAAGACTCCATGACACTTTGCAAAAAACCTAATGCTTCATTTACGGTAGAATAAAACTCTCGTCCGCGTAACATTTTCCAAAAACAGACTTGATAGTTGACAGTTGAGACTCGTCAGTTGCCCGACCATCATACAGTACCAGCAGCATTGTTTAGATATTTGTACATCCGTCGCGGCACTTTCGCTAGTTTTAGATGCACAAAATAAAGTACTGCACACGAAGAAGAAATCAACACAAAATAGATTTTAAAAATACAAAATAAATTCAAAACAAAAATAACTATTGTATTCACAGTGGTAATCTTCTTAGGTTTCTAAAAAATAATAAATAAAAACTCTGTTGAAAGTGCAGGGCTGAAATACAAATTGAGTTGTCGTGAAACTTTCCCCGGTTTGCTGATTATTTAAAATACAGTATTCAGTATTCTTTTGTTGATAAGTACTCGTGTGTATTATTGTATTTATTGATATGTTTTTACTACATACAACCTTCTGCATGTTTAAATGCATAAGCAAGGAGGCAAGGATGGCAGAAAAGTTGGTTTCAGCCAAGGAAGGGTGGAAGTGAGGAAAAGGTAGGAATACGTAAGAAAGAAAGGAAAGAGGTCAGCAAGGAAAAATATACAGCAAAGGATAAAAGGCAGAAAAGTAGGAAGAATCAGGGACAGCTCCAGGATTTTTCCTTCTCCCGGGGCTAAAGAGGGGCTTGACTCATACATATGAGGGGAGGGGAAAACAATTTATAACTACAGTATATTTTTGAATATCAAATAAAATGCTGAAGGGGCTGAACTGGCCACACACAAATTTATGATGGAGCTATTTGTTTTTTCCTGCAGTGAAATGGAAACGTATTTACACTTATTTTATTACACTTGAGAGCAGATAAAGAGTGTTCTGTTTTGCTCATTTGTAGTATGTTATCATCAATTCCAGATTCTGTTGACATATTGTGCATACCCCCCCCCGCCCCCACCATACACACACACATACACACAATTTAAAACAGTTTGCAAGTGTTGGAATAATAATCTTTTGTCAAAATAACCCATGATCAAGAATTATTTCATACTATACACACCGTTTTGATGAAATTAGGCCCCATTGAGCCAATAGCAACCATAACGACCACGGGTACTGATGCTAAAGGTTAAGTGTACTAGGGAACAAAACTCATAATTCATGCCTTTTGGTCTTGAAAAAAATAGGACATTTCCCGCAAGAATACACATCTTGTTAAAAAAGAAAAAAAACAACAACACACATTAGAATCACAACTTTATTCATGCAGGAATGTCAGATTTATGGTAAATGTAATCCTATCAGAGCTTTTAATCGTCCCAAAGACCAAAGGTAGAGACTTTGAGTACCACTGCTCTACACAACTAGGTCGACAATAGGTAAATGGAATTTTTTTTTTTAACTACTTGTATGCTTGATGCTCTTCATATGTGTCTATGCGTGTGCAGATGTGTGTTTTAACGGGGTGGTATCCAGCAGGCTGGTGTCCTGCTGAGGACTAGGTCATGCATCCATGCGTATAGCACACACACATTCACCATATGGAATTCGAAGGAGGGGAGAGAAAAGGGGCGAAGAGGTTCGTTTACAGGGCCGAGCCAAGCCACGCTTATGGACCATTTAGCACACATTTCTCTACCTCTCACTGCATTGCACTGTACTACTTGCATTTACACAGCAGCCCAAGCTGGAAAACCTTACAGTGCCCCGTGAAAAGTAGGAGCAGGCGACCAGAAGGCCCTCTCTCTCTCTCTCTCTCTCTCTCTCTCTCTCTCTCTCTCTCTCTCTCTCTCTCTCTCTCTTGCTTTGACGCCCTCTCTGTCCCTCCCTCCCTCCCTCCCTCTCCCGCGCACGTAGCAAACACAACAGAAAAGAGTATGCCAGAGAGAGGTAGGAACACAATCAGAGTCTTTTGTTAAAAGACCACAATCACATTGAATTGTTGAGAACATATTAACATCGCTTCATTTTCACTATTGTAAATGACATGTGATGGTACTGCACCCTCAACTCCAATCAAGTGACCCCACCTACAACCCAACTTCATCCTTGGTCGTGTTTCACTTCTTCACATGTGCCCTCTTTCCTTCCCTCTATTTGTGCATGCATGTGTGTGGTCCGAGACACCGTGAGTACTCTGGGCTCACACAGAGCGCCACCCAATGCGACACCCAGGCCTCCATATCAGGACAGTATCAGCTACCATGTCACACCAGCTGGCTCATAGGCTTTACATCCTTATCGTTTCTCCAAGAAACCCTAATCGGGGAATCTATCCATCTTGGAATTGAGTCACTACTCTGCAATAAAAATAAAACACATAGGACAGAAATAGCTAATTATTTTCTGGATTTGTTTGTGGTAAGTGGTCCTTTCTGACTGCAAGCATAACTGAATCACAAGTCACGCTGCACACAAGACGCAAGGCATCACACAAACAATATCACACTAACCATCCATTCATTTTCTATTGTGCTTCTCCTCATTGTATGCAGGTGAGCTGGTATCCATTCCAGCTGATTTTGGACAAGAGACCGAATACACTCTGCACTTTGAGGGCATATACAGACAATGAAATTCGACACTCAGATTCCACAGAGGAAGGCCGGAGCAAGGATTCAAACCCAGAACCTCAGAATTTTGAATTCGACATTGCTGCACGTTGTTAAACAAGGTAAACTCTGTGGCCCCACCAATATAGTACTCATTATGGTTGTGGGGAACCGTTTTTGTGCAAGAGGTGGGGTCCACCCTGGACTGGTCACCAGCTAATGGCATTGAGACCATCAACCATTCACACTTACTTTCATGCCTGCAATATGTCATATAAATGAATCTAATGTATGTTTTGGAAACAGGGAGAACATCCAAACTCCATCCAGGAAGGTCTGAGTCTTGATTCAGACCTGGAACCACTCCACTGTGAGGCAAATGTGTTAACCAGTAACCTTAATGAGTTTAACAAAATTGTGTCAGCCTTCAGCAGCACAAACGTGCCATGTCTTCCACCTGAGCACCACACACAGCAAATCACACACGCTGTGACCATCAGTGGGATTAATCTAAGTCAGACTCTGGGAAGAGTGGAGGCGTTGAAAAATAAAGCCCCGAGAAATCCTGATGTCTGACTTGGGTGGTCTCCCAGGCACAAATATCATCACAAATGACCGTTCTCTCTCCCTCTCCACTTCACGTTAACACACACAAACAAACAACGCGGAGTGCAGATAAAGGCGGGCAACAGAGGACAGATGGACGGGAGGGTGACAGAGGGCAATTGTGGAAAAAGCGAGAGAGAGAGAGACAGAGAGAGACAGAGAGTGAGCGTGAATGAGAAGGAGGGAAAACGTAGTGAGAGATCTTCACACGTCTCCCTGTGTGGTCTCAAAGACCTCCGTATGAGCATGCCCTTCCCCGGCCGCATGGAGAAAGTCTACACAATGAAGTTGGGGAATGTTTGCCTTCCATGAGCATGGGAGAGAAGGAGCAAGGCTGTTGCTTTATTTGGAATACACAAGGAAACTGTGGCGTGTTTGGCCCTGCCACGGTGGAGACGGACATGTTGTCAACAAGGCCACCAAAGAGGCCTTGTTGACAGAGTCATGTGAGCACGCACGCATAATTAAGACTTTTTTTTCCTTTTGTAATGTGTGAAATCTGGATATCTCAATGCCGTCATCATACGGAGTTAACAAGAGGTGGGGAACTCGAGTCACAACTTGATTCCAGTCAAATTTAATGTGTACCTGTGGTGGGCAGAAGGAAGAGTATATATGGTTTATCAAGAAAATTTACATCCAAACATGTTTTGGTTACAATTGTTGTATTAAAGCAAGTTTATAAACGCTCGCGGGACCTTCCTGTCTTAGACGCCATGTCAGCTAATGCGTGCAGACATATTTGCTTCTTCTTGCCATGATGTGGAGTCGTTGAAAGGCGAGTCAGACTCGCAATTGGCTGTCGCATATTGGAAAGATTTTTTGTCAAAATTATTCACACAGATACATCTGTGATTTTCATGTGTGTCTTTCAGATCAACAAATATACTTCAAATATACAAATAACTTCTTCATCTATCACAAAGACAGGCAAGCTATGTCACCTTCGCAGTTTAGCTAATCAATCGCTGGTATCTCACTGAGCAGCGAATGCTTGCAAAGTTAGTGAATGTTGGATTTGTCAACTTTACTGACGAATGTCATTCGCGTCATGTCGGTTATGCATTGAATTGAGAAAACAATACAGTCAAAAATAATATGGAGACTAGTTTTGGAACCATAAAAAAACATATTATTGCAGCTCACTAACGTACAATGTAAGTATCTATACTGTATGTTGTGAACTTGTGACTCGCGCTGCATTCCAGGAAATTGTGAATTCGGACCAGATAAGGTGCACTGGAACCCCAGTCAAACTGGGAGGTCCAAATCATGAAGTCGACGAAAAAATATCTACCCTGTCTTCACTGAGTTGCTTCAAACTAATGTCACTCAACGATGGCAACCCCCCATGGAGACACAACTGACAGCGAATGGCAAAATAGCATTTTATTAAGATGATTAAAAATTAATTTATCAATCTTTATTTCTTTTTACATTCATTTAATTATTTGACATCGCTTCACGGTGTTCTTGTACTGACTGCGTGAAAATAGGAATCTTATCTTCCTGCATGTTATTTGGTGAACTGTATGAAATGTTGATAAGCAAACGTATTCCTTTATTTGTACATAAAAGTAATGATGAAAGCAGGTTTGCTGGAGGTTAAAATGTGTTTGAGGAACAAAGCGAAAAAAACGCTGATTTATTACCATATTGGACCTCTATGCTATATTCCATTTCCTGTTCTATGGTTACCGTCACATTTTTCCTCATTAGTACCGCCTGTGGTGATGTCACATATTTCCTGCTATGTAACAGAACCTCACTCCATCATCCACTGATGTTTCACATAGCACTTGAAATCACGCCGTTCAGAGCACTCTCGACACATGATCTTAACATGACAAAGCGGTCATTTGATGGCATTCGCACGTGCGTAGTGGCGTTGGGGCCCACATCAAATGTGTCGCGCCAACGAAATTGCGCTCAATTAACATCAACAATCGGCAAGAGGCCTCGGAGCTTGAAACAATTTCACATAGTGTTTTGTTTTTTTGTTTCTTGTTTTTTTTATGTGGCATCAGTGAAGCGGAATACACTCGCAAATGAGCACAAGGGGAGGCAGCATAAAGACTGCAATTGGATTCCGTCACTCATCAGTTCTGGCGGGTCAGGTTTTGACTACCTTTGACCGAGAGGGACTCATGCCAGGAGACTTGCACATAAAATATGCATGTGCTGTTTTGCTTATATGGATGATTCTGTGTGTGGCAAAAGCATACAAAATTGGCATTTGTTGGCATGATGACAGTGGTAGGAAGTAATCAAGTACAAATACTTTGTTACTGTCCTTCAAACAATGTTCTTCAATCAGTGTGAATGTACTTGAGTGTTTATTTTTCCTGACTTTTTACTTTTATTTCCAACATTGTGGAAGGTTATAAAACAAGTAATGTAGCCTACATAATTGACAATAAAAATATTTTTTCTTTGGCACTGAAGTAATTAAAGTGTTTTAAAAAAATATATATATATTTTTTTACCAGTCCATTTTTTTACACAAGTATCATAAGTAACTTTTACTTAAGTACGGAGTCTTACTTTTGCCAGCCCTGCATGACGCCATCTGTCACCAAAACACTCATGTATGCACAGAGTGTTTTATGGGAGCCATATCCCCCCACCCCACCCACCCCCTTCAGATTACGGCATTGAGTTGAGGTCATCCAGTGCGGCGCATATGGACTTTTTAGCCCATGCAGGATGTCTGTCTGACAGCCAGAAATAATCAACTTCATTAGTCACTCGGGTTAAAGATGCTTAAAGCCCCAAAAGAAACAGCAAAAACACTACACCTAACTACGGCTGCACAAACACAAATCCATTCAGTATGCATGGACATGCGCAGGTACAGAAACATTTGGAATAGTAGTCTGGCTTTTTAAAAACACCAAGTGTCTGAATATCAAATGTGCCAAGCATTCATATGACTAAATTTCGGCAGACACCCCAAAGAAATACACACACAAAAATATAAACCAGTGGTTCTCATATGTGAGGCACAGCAACTTCAGCTAAATAAAGAAAAAGTATTACAAATTGTTTGACTGTAAATGAGAAACTATTTTCCATTCTCTTGTCTGGTTAAACAAAAAAAAAAATCAATTGAATATATATTCAATTATTTGATGTTCTTTCCCTGTGATTGACTAGTGACCAAAACTCCCAGGATAGCTTCGCCCCACCCGCAGAGAAATAATAGAAAATGGATTGATGCCTTTCCCTAAAAATAAATGAAGGAAAAATGATAGCTACACTAAAAGGCTGGTATGTTTTGTGGGTACAAAACAGGCCAGAAACATGGCATACGTCTCTTTCTCTCCTCTGGTTTATGTAATAATGCTTTTGTTGTTGTTGTTTGTGCTGTCACCCATGAATTTCCCCACTGTGGAATCAATACATTTGTCTTAAATTTTCAATTTTTTTATGCTGATCGGACCCATTGTGCCTCACCCAGAGACATATATAACGACACAAAGCAGGTTAGCCCTCTCACACTGTGCATCAGACCATACTGTACTCCACTAATTGTTGTTTTTTAAGGAAAGGGAGAGTGCTCTTTTTACAAGTAGCCTGCAGAGCTTTCCCACATCTCACACAGACTTTCGTGCAGGTGTGTGTGTGTGTGTGTGTGTGTGTGTGTGTGTGTGTGTGTGTGTGTGTGTGTGTGTGTGTGTAGTAGTGTATACTGCAACACCATGTCTTTGTTGTCCACTGAAAGCAGCCACGCTCACAATTTTCTGGAATGTTTATGATACTCTTAAATATATACAATGCCCCAGTTTGTCCGTGTGAATTAAAGCTTTTGCTGTAAAAGGAATTAAAGGGGGCGTACCGCAGGAAACGTTAAAGGGTCTTTCCTTGCAACCTACTTCACGGTCTCTTCACAACTGGCTGGTTTAAAGGAGATATGCGCTCTCACCCCCCTCCCTACACACCCACACACAATTTTGAATGACATTATCATTTTGTTAAGAGTCTAAATATTTATAGCACAATTTCTGCGCACACTACAAATTCATTTATTTAATTATTTATTAACAAATGCGCTGTACGTGTGTGACTCTAGACATTTTTTGTGGACCAGACAGAGCATGGCTCAGAGACCCCAAATGATGATTGAAAAAAATTGGAACGTTTTCCCTTGCCTCCTTCTGGATCCAGGCCTGCAGGTGGGGTTTGCTGGCGAGTGCAAGGTGGCCGGGCAACGTGGGTCCCACTTCCCATGGATTCACCACTTGTGGGAGGGGCCAAAGGGGTCAGGTGCCCTGTGAGCTTGGTGGCGGCAAAAGGCAGGGACCTTGGCAGTCCGATCCCTGGCTACAAACACTCTGGAGACATGGAATGTCACCTCTCTGATAGGGAAAGAGCCGGAACTGGTGTGTGAGGCAGAGCAGTTCCGACGTGATATAGTTGGGCTCGCCTCCGTGCACATCTTAGGCTCTGGTACCAGTCCTCTTAAGAGGGTTTGGACTCTCTTCCATTCTGGAATTCCCCAAGGTGAGATGCGCTGAGCAGCTGTGGGAATACTCAAACAGCACATTGTTTGAAAACAGATCTTTTTATCGAGAAACTAGTGGCCAGAAGCAAAAAATACAATTTCTCTTTTCAATGAAACATGAATTAATGAAAAATCATCCTCTTAAATGAATATGTTTTGAAAACATCTGTGCTCCACAGTTTGATATAGACAATTACTGTGAAAATCTTTTTTTGCCATACTGTGGACCATGTAATGTGTACATGGAAAAAGAGCCATGTGTAAACATTCCAAGTGCAATACGGCGAAGGCTAAACATCCCGTCTGCATTGTTTTCCCTTGTTGTGACACATTAACAAACAAGTGGAGGGAAACAAAAGGCCCCTCATGTCGAGCACAGCCAGATGTGCCTCTTGAGATTCTGATTGTGTTTGTCTTGTTTTCAAATGCATCGTCGAGAAAATTCCACATTTTCCACCATCTCTCTTATTTTTCCTTTTTTTTTTTTTGCCCCTGCCCTAAGTGTATACACAATCTTTTGTTCACATATAAACTGCTAAGGAAGAGCATTTGGAAACTGTAGAGGCAGACTGCGTACCTGGAACTTAAATTAGGGAATCATGCCACGTAATCCACCTGTGAACACCACTACTATCTTCGCAATTGTAGAAACCATCAATACTATACAAAAACAATATAACAGCACACATCTGTGCCATGCACATTATCTGGAGTCGTTCAGAATTAATATTTGTCGAATAATATGACAATAACATCAAACCTTTAAGGAAATGTATCATTCTGACCAGCATTGCTGATCATGAAATATATTCATGCGTGCAGATTGTTTCCAAAAATGTTTTGCTCATCATTGTTGGCTGTCACTCGTTTTGTTCTGACCAACCAATGAGCGCATGGAAAAATGCTGTCATCAAATGCCAGCTTCCTGTTCCTGTGAGAACGAATTTGAAATCTGATTGTTTAGAAAAACAGACCCATTCGTCATATAGTTTATCTTACGTTGGCAACAAATGAGGTAAAGCCTGTTTGTATGTTGCAAAATTGGTGATTTCACCTCCGGTATGTGCTTCCAAGTGCCAAGCTCACCTTGCTTTACCTTTACAACTATATGAGCGATAAGCTGTGTTGAAAATGGATGGATGAAAGTTAAAATATGAAAGCTCATGGTTATATACATGTATTTAAGGGGGTTTAAGGATATTAAAGAGCTTCAATAGAGAGCATGCAACCTCACAGAGATTCATACCCAGAACCTCAAAACTGTAAGGCAGAAGTTTTAACCACTGGTTCATCCACCCCTGAGTAGTCCATTACTTAACGGCAATGCTTGGATGCTTGTAAATTTGTACTTTATTGAAACAAAATGCAAATATTGTGTTGGCCAGCTGGCTGTCCTCCAACATCATCATCTTCAGGCCTCCCACCA